CATCGGAATGGTAACTCATTTGATTCATTTATTTAATTTCCGACTAATTAAAAATTTGCTTCCGATCACTTGATTGAAGTGCTTGAGAACACCTTTAGTCAACTAAAAATAAAAATAAGAAACATATAGACTGCAGCAAGCTGCTATAATGCGGACCAGAATTTAATAATGCGGGCCAAAATTTCATGCGTATATGATAGTTAAACATTAATATAGACTAATAGTTAACCAATATTTTGATTGGTCGACTAATAAATTGTAGTTTATTATATTTACTTTATATACTTTATATATTATACGACTAGTCAACTAGTCATAAAATTAGTTGACTGACTGGTCAACTAAAAAAATTTTAGTCGATTCAGATCACTAGTTTTAATCCTGCTAGAAATTCTGGTGTTTTGAGAAATTCAGACTAACATATTTTAGATGGTTGTTCAAAGTACTTTGATACAATTTCATGGTATAATTTTTCACATTTATATTTTGAACAATAGAGACACCATGAGTTATCATTTTTTACATGTGAAAGTGTTGTATACTATTAATGATATTTATTGTATTGCCAGAGTAGCTTACTTTTGGCATTGATATAAAAATCTGTTAAGCATTCACTACCTCGATTTTGTGCAATAGATTTAGCCACCAAAATATTAAGCTTTGTACTAAAGCATAGGGAATTGACTCGACAAAAAAATCGTTGATCGATGATTGATCAAAAAAAATTTTTCTTAATCGATCAAAAATCAATTACATATGTAAAAAATATATCAGATATGTTGTGCCTGCCTCTCTAAATTAAGGATAGGGTTAGGGTAAAATTAGAGTTTAATTTAGGCCAATCAATGTCGATCAGTTAATGCTGGCAAGCGTTAATCTGAGGCACAACATATATACTTAATCGATCAAGCACTGAATTTAATCAATTACTGGATTAATCATTGATCGATTATATATCTACCTAGAGATTGACCCGCGCTTATACAATCTCTACTTTACCATAACGATACCTTTGCAATTTTTTTTTTATTGTATAAATCAACATAATCGATTATTGATTGACTCACTTTTGAACGAGCCCATAACATTGTGCTCGATCATCAGGCCTAATTGATCAATGATCGAGGCACTAATTTAGCGCATAAGTTATGAATATTTACTATTATATAGTTTATTTTATTTTAGTGCATGAGTATAAAAAAACGTTGTACGATAATAAAAATTAAAATAAGATATCAAAGTTCGTGAAGATTTACTACTAATTTCATTCTATTTTGACCATTCGCGTTAATCCAAGTATCTAAATAAGCTACTCAATCTCATAAATATTTACAATTTATTCGCGTTGTTGAGTACAAAAATTAAACTTAAGTGCCGCATAAATAAAAATCCGGATAATCCGCCCACGGGCACGGGTGACTCGTTGCGGAATTTCTCTTACCATCCGGGTGACCAGGTTGGGATTTTTGTGACGGGCGGAACACTAAGTTGAGTAATTGTATATAACGATAACTTTTATGCAAAAACAAACATATTTTGAATACGTAACAGCGAAGTAATTTATTAGAAAATATTATTGACTATTCATGCATTTTCATTGTTAATAATATACATGTTCCAGTGAACTTTTCATTGGAACACTGGAAAATCTGGACGCCCAATGAGGTTCCAGTTTCCATTCCAACAACACTGCTTTAAACCGGTTGAACGATAGTTGTCCAACCTTGACGACGGACACCCTTTTTTCCCCATCTAAAAATCATATTAGTTAACATGTATCATAAAATATAAAAAATATAAAAAATAACAGTAATAAAATAACATTGAACGGAATAACCTACAATTCTAACAATTTATCACCTTTGTTATTTTGTTCACTAAATACAGCCTGTGGTAGTAAAGTCTCTATAATTTCATACATAACACGTGGCTTGGCTTCCGTAAGCATATCTATATACGTATGAAAATTAAATACTCATAGATAAAATATTATTGTATATGATATTTGTTTAATACCTGGAGTATGAGGTTTTATAAAGTCAAATACACAATCCGGATTCCTTTGATGACGTAATTCAATTTCACCATCCTATTTAAAAATAGTTATATCAGGACATTAACATTTAACTAAAAAACGGTATGACATTAAACGTTAAGGAACCTTTCGGAAAATTAAAAGAGACAATTTTGATTTGTTAAAATATCGATATGATTCACGCGATATTTGATTGTTAATATTCTTTTTTATCCAACAGAAATTCTCCACATAGCGGAAATGCCATTTTTCAGCTATTTGAACAATATCAGGAATATATTCTTTCTCAACCCAGATGAATATGAATCCTTTTGGAACAATTACGGTTAAATTGAGATTGGCCTGATGTTATAATAAATAAAATTTAATAAATTAAACATATTTAATGTAATCAGTACATTATTTTTTAGGATTTTAACTTACAAATTGCTGAATAGAAATCTTTCCCGGAGATGGAGCTTCGCCTGGTAGGAGGAGCGGAGGATCAATATATATTGCTTGGAATCCAGAACCGAGTTTCGTGAAGTCCATTGATAATATATCTTTTTCAAAATATCTAATGTACGTGATAAAAATAAAAAGAACTCATCTTTTTAAGAGATTATCGAACAAAAATAGGTGAAACATACCTTGATCCAAGAATTGGAGCGACCAACTCAACCGATGGTGGTGATATCGTAAGTGCCCAAGAGCGTGGAATTGGTAACGTAGGGATTCTCATATACGTTGGGAGACTTGGATCGATGTTACTGTTGCATTTTACGCGATAAAGTTAGAAAGATGTATGATTCATATTGCTATTCTACTTATATACTTATTTATTTATTATTATTATTATTACTATTATTATTATTATTATTTTTTTTTTAAAAAAAAAAAAAAACAAAATAAAATAAGAATGATGACCTTATCAAATTCGACCATTATTCACCTTACTTTCTTCTTGACCGTAAAGAAATTACCATTTCTATCTTGAAGTCTAACTTGCATAACTTTATACCTCTGTAGCAAAGTTTCTCTGTCCAAACCCGATCTCCGACTTGAACCAGATTTATCACTTTTCCTGCGTTTTCTTTCACCAAACTCTTCGTCCCAGAAGTCATTGTCAACAGTCATATATTCACTATTCAAATTAAAAGAATAAATGAGACAATACCAAGCAGCAGATAACAAAGTATTATAAACATACTCCTCTTCTTCATATTCAGCAGTATTCCCGTCTTCCATTTCAATCCTCCAAAAATCTAAATCGTCTACCTCGTCAAGATTTGGCGCGAAGGTGGCAGATTTAACCGTAAAACTCGAAGTTCTTCTGAAAACCTCTTCAAGTTGTTCTTGTGTTAAGCCTTCAGTTTCTTGTAAATTAACAGGAGAATCAAATTCAGAATTCGATTCGTTTTGTTTTGTGATGCCCATTTCTTCTCTAATCCGTTCTAATTCTTCGAATTTTTTCATTATAGCTTCTATGGATTCGTCATCTTCCACATATCCAACATAGAGGGCATTACTAATGATATATAACACGTACAGAATGATAGTATCATAAAAATTTAAGAGATTTGTACAACAACTCGATAAAACGCGTCTAATCACTCGTTAACAGGAACTACCTCGCAGTTGACGTATAGGGATTATGGCGTCGTCTTCTCAAAGATCTCTCACTCATTATTGCTTAAATGTTAAAAGACGTCCTAAAGCGCGTTTGATTGACAAAATTTATACAGGCCAGGGACGGTGATTTTCTGTGATTCACAGAAAACAGCAGAATTTCTCTTAAGCGCAGCCAACCACAGAAATCACTGT